ATGAATCACATTCGGGTCACAAGAATGCTCTTATTATCAAACAAACATATTCTAAGTGCTCATGGCGTTTCTAGGCCGAAATATTTTATTTGTGAAGTATTCAAATTTTAGTTATAAATATCGAAGAACAATTTTCATGAAAGCTTTTTCTTGTACACTTAAATAATTTTTTACTCCGAGAATGTAGAAAAACGCTCTCTTAAAGTTTTTACACCATTAGTATCATATTAGCTATGATGTCTTTTCGAAGTTTTGTAGTATATTAGTAAAAGTAGATAAACTTGTAGTTTAAAAAATGACTTGAACTTCAAATGTCTAAAGTTTTACTTCACCAATGCGTTCTTTTCTGATCTAGCACAATGAATTATTCATGTACAGATTTTACTTATTCTGTAAAAAGAAAAAGAACATCAATTCGGTTAAGGGATCTGAAAGAACTTGATCATATCAACTAACATCGTTGTATGAGTTTTTCAACAAATATGGAACAATATTTTCAAGAATCAAGAGAAGTAGTTATTGATTGTTTCTAAAGACGTAACTTATGTTATTTAATCACAATATATTTTCTTAGTTTACCTACAAGCTAATGTTCATTATACGGATTCGCTGACTCTTGTCTGAAAGAAAACTTTGAAAAGTTCCGGAGAATTTGTCGACAGAAAACATGTTCACTTTTAGTTTATGAATCACATATTCTTATGAATAAATTTATAACCTTTCCTCCATCAACATAAGTGAATAGCACCACTATTTTTATCCTACAGTTTTAGGCATGAATGTGGGTGTGCACGAGAACACAGGGAAGGTCAATGTCCATTTGTATTCATCTTGCAGTTTATTAATAAATTAGGGTATGGATGTATGTGCTAGTTGTTTAGAACTAGCTAGGTCTGAGACTAACTCTACAGGTTCTACTTTTGATTCACTACAATCTCAGGAATATACATAGCATTTCTACATGTTTTTCTAGCTGAAATCAATTTCTCTGTATAAACAAAAACAGAAATCAGCATATTGTTTCTTTAAACATAGAACATGATTATTCTTGTGTGTTAGAATTATTATCACACTTATCTAATTTAAAAATACTTATTAAAAAGTCAAATATGACATTACTCAATTGATCAAATGCGTCGAAAACTGGAACCTTTATTAAACACACATTTAGTAAGTCATTGATCTTTAGAAAAAACAAAAAAGCTTGCTAGCGCAGCTCCTTTGGAACAGAAATGTGAAACTTACGCATATCCTCCAAGTTTCTTTTCCTAATGCATCATTTGTAAACTTGAAAAATAATTTTCCTCAAATAATCATGAAAGCGCGATGTGGAGGGATGTGAGGTGTGGGTGTGAGTGTGGGTGCGGGTGTAGGACTCCACTGAATATACACACAATCATACCCACACCCACACACCCTTATATCATTCCTACGTATTAATTTGAACATAAAATTATATGTTTTCATATAAAACAATCTGAAAAAAATATGTCAATTAGTTTCCAATAAATTTACTAATCAAGAATTAAATCACGATAGTTCGCCATGAAAATAGAAAGTATAATATTGGATGCGAATGGATGTATTAGCAGCTTCCAGGAATTATCTGTTTTTAGGATTTTATTATCAATTCCAATATTCATTTGATCGTAAAATGAAAAGAACGGTGATGATACTTAGGTCAGTCCAAAAGTAGTGGCGGAGGTATATCAATTCCTTATAGAAAGCTCTGAGAAACCTTTTTTCTATACAATCTGATAGAGAAAAGAAAGCTCTATTTTTCTATGCTATTTGATCATACTTTAATTAATATCATGATAATAAATTTTTGATAAAACTTTTTTCATTAACATGTTTGCTCATTGTACTAGCTCACAATGAGTCAGACGAGTTAGGTTTTTAGTCCACTAATACATTGTATTAACAACCAAAATATGCCATAAGATGCAGCGTGAAACGCTCTACAATTTCCATAAGACCACTTATTTTCTAGTTGCACTTTTTATTTTCAAAATAGACAAAGTTTTGAGTGATCGAACTGTGGTCGTTGTAAAAACTGATCGTATAGAATTTTCCTTTTTTTCAAAAAAATTACAATAAACTTTACCATGTAGATTGCAGAGCTTTTCACGCTGCATCTTCTGGTGTATTTTGTTTTTCTTTTGATAAAGCATATCAGGTAATAAAATGATTAGATAACAGGAAATGAATTCATCGTGTATCAAAAACATTATCTTTTTCCATGGTCGAAATTTGATCGCTCAAAATTCAGTCTATTTTAAGAACAAAAAGTGCAACTAGAAAATAAGTGGTCTTATGGAAATTGTAGAGCTTTTCACGCTGCATCTTGTGGCATATTTTGGTTGTTAATACAATGTATTAGTGGACTAAAAACCTAACCCGTCTGACTCATTGTGAGCTAGTACAATGAGCAAACATGTTAACGAAAAAAGTTTTATCAAAAATTTATTATCATGATATTAATTAAAGTATGATCAAATAGCATAGAAAAATAGAGCTTTCTTTTCTCTATCAGATTGTATAGAAAAAAAGTTTCTCAGAGCTTTCTATAAGGAATTGATATACCTCCGCCACTACTTTTGGACTGACGTAAGTATATATATTCGTTGCTTGCAACAATAAATAGATTGTACATACGTGATAAGATAATCTTCTCTCTGACTAACAACTGGCTAGTGGTCGACAACCTTGACAAAGTTTAGATAAAAATCTTTTTTTTTGAGTACCCCCTTCCCCATTTCTAGATTTGTACAGTTTCTTCGAACCATCTTTCCCCTTCTGGGCGTTCAGTGCAAAACAATCTTTTTAGAACGAACTTGCTTATTCAAACATATTCCGTAGGTCAATGCAGTATTCATCTAGGCGGATCTCGGATCGGAGATTGAACTCGTCTAATGTCAGATCAAGGAAACGGCTTACTATAAAACTCGAATGAGTCTCCAGATAAATATCGGGTTCGGATTGTTATTGATGAACTCTAATATGTCAATGATATTTCAATTGATACAATCATTAGCTGATAAATTAAAGAATGATCTGGCCCATGATGGACTATTTTATGCAAAAGAGTAGCTTCTATGGCAAACGGTTCATCATTAATCAGACTCGTACTTAGGTCGTGAAGTGATCTCTGACTTCATTGAAATACTATTATCTTATTGTACTTCATCAAAAACAAACTAGATCCAATGACTTGTATGAGTTTTACCATAAACTATTTCGTCGATGTGACATTAGACTAGCTCAATCTTGGATTTGAGATTAGTCTAGGCCAATTCAAGATTGATCTGCGACATATACTTTTTCTTCTTTGTTAAATACATATATAAAAAATGAGAATGAATAAACACTTATTTCATAAAGTCTAATCCCTTTTTTCAAAGTTTTTGTTTCTTAAATAAATTCGATTTTAATCAGGAGAATATAAAAAAGAAAAAAGTTCAATAGTAACGGCACTCGAAAATCTAACAATGTTTATGTATAATTAGCTGTCAATGTAGCATAATCTTCAATTATTTCAACATCATATTCATATTAAACTGATTCATTCGGCAAGAATCTGTTCAAAACAAATTAAGCTTGAAAATATCACAAAAAGTCGTGTGAGAAGAAAAGAAAACATTCATAGTAAATATCTATACATTTAGAACTACTTGACAGCAACTCTCTCCGCTCCGTCCATATTTATCTAGTTCGAAGAGACTTTTTCCTTCCTAGGCCTGTGACAGATATGGGTGTTGATGTAGCTGTGAGTGTGAATGAAAAAATGAACTACGCATACACCCATACTCGCACCCACAAACCCACATCCACAGACACACAAATCTACACACTCACACCCACCCGCACCCATAGTGTATTCCACTGTCGTGAATCAGACTAGATCCGTTTGACTTTGCAGTGATTGTGATATTTTGAAGTCAGTTGTCTCTTTGTGACAGACAAACGATCATTGTCTCGTGCTTTTATTTAAAACTGTTTGTTTGTATATCAATGGCTACTGATTAAACTATTTTTTAAGCCTGTAGGCATTCCAACTCTACAACACGTGTTTTCAAAAATGTAATTTCTGTCGTGATGAAAAATATTTTCATATTTAAAATAAATATCAAATAATTATTTTTAAAATTTTTATTCAAAAAAAAAAATGAAACATCAACAACAACGGTGTTAACTCTTTAAAAAAAAGTATTTCCATACCAATCATGAGTGATGAAACTGAGACTCAATGAATATATTTTGTTTGCACAAGCAATATCAGATGTTGTCCACCATTGATGTTGATTATTAAAAAGAATTATTTCATCTATTAAATTAAAAGGCATTTAGTTGAAGTTATGAATGATGGAGATACTTAGTTTGCGTTGACAATAACGATGAATATGTTTGTACTTATCTGAAGCAAGTTTATTTCCATTTTTATCATCAACAAATTTTAAAATATCCCTTATAAACGAAGTTGTCAGATTATTTATTGAAACAAGCAAAAAAGCATAGAATTATAAAGTCTATCCTACTTACCAAATAAGTGAACTAGCTACCGTAAAATTTGTACAAGTAACCATATAATAGTTTGCATATTTTTCGGAATCATCATTCTCACCTTGTATGAATGAATTTTTTTGACAGTTTTTGCAACAAGGTATAGTGTATATACTTTGTGATTCGATATCCTGTCAAAAGAAACAAGTGATTATGCATAGTTGTTTTTTTTCAAAGTTTTTATTCTCGTGTTGAATAATTTCACTGAAGAAAAGCATTTACTCACATCGATTTCATATTCATTTAATTCGAAGTGTATGTCTTCAAAGGATACATCGATAATGAAATAATAATGTTCAACACATGTAGTTAGACCATCGAGTTTGTAAGGTACTGTTTTTTTTATTGGATGATTATTATTTTTTATTTGATCATATATATAATCACGGGGTAAGCCAAGTTCCTCGGAACCCTGTACAGACAATAAGAGTATTAAAATTCAACATGTTATATGTCATTTACTTCTCGAGCTGAACATTCTTGAATAGTTTCATCAACTTCGATTTTCCCCTTACTATGTCCATAATTAGTACAATCATTTCTATTACATTTAATAAGCACAATCTGCAAAACAATAGTAGAAAATTTTCATCTTACAAATAATATCTACAAATAATATACCCGTTCGTTGACTGGCTTCTCACAAGAGAGCAGGACAATACCTCCTCGAGGACATTTTTCTCGTTCCTTGCATCGTTCTTTCCAGATTGCTTTAGCTGTTTTTTCTCCATAGAACTCATCTGCTGCCAATTTTTTTGATTCTAAACATAAAATACAGAAAATATGTTTTGTGATTTATTAAAATAAATATAATTTTGATTATATGTTTTTCAGATAAACAATTTACTTTGACATCGTCGATTGTATAATTCACATAATAAATCCGTAACTCCTAAAAACACGTATTTCAATTTGAATTATAATATAAGATTAACTTACGTGCGATGGCATAGTTCTTCATATCGTCTGCGATGAGAATATTTTTCTCTTCAAATGTAAAATCTTGTTTATTATTTAAGAATTTATATGAATCATAGAAATCATTTTCTATAGCAGGTAGTTGTTCGAGTACTTTTTGATGTTCTTTAGATGTGCAGCTACTTGTTTGCGAACATATACATTTGGAAATGTATCTATAATTTGATATGAAATATTAATTTATATAGATATGAACTGTTGTAGATTACCTTTTTATATTTGTTTTAAATGTATCAGGTGGATAATATTTATTATTGGTATCGAAAGGCATTAAACTTCGTATATCTAAAGTGTCACGTATCGTAGTCAGGTTAGAAGATTGGAAGTTAAGCTGAACTTCTCTAGTTTATTTATACGTGAGGAATGAATGAAATATAACAGAGGCAGAAACTCAGTAATATGAAGAAATAGAATCTGAAGAAGAACAACCATATTATCACAAGCGCGACCGCACATATATATAGATATAGAGTGGAATGGAAATTTCCAACGTGAAATGGGAAAATAAATATAAAGAAAGGAAAAATGAGACTTGGAAAATTCCAACATACATGAATAGTCATCAGTGGGAAAATCCAATGAGTCACAACATCACATAAACTATATCAGAAAGAAAAATACATTTGCATTCAATTCAATATTTTTCCGAACTTGAGATATTTACCGAAGTATTTCAGCAAAAAGTTGACAAAGTAAATGAAAAGTTTGTGTCATCATATACATATACAGGGTGTACATAATCTTTGCTTCCTCCTCTACGACCTAAAGGATAGATAATATCACAAAGTATTTATATCGAATTAAAGCGCGTCAA